CTTCTAACTGGCTTTGTCAGTAAAAGGGTGGGGGAAGGGCCCTTTCCTGGCCTATTTTGGTCTTTGAGGGAGGGAGGGAACCTTGGGGCCAGGCCTTACAAGGGTTGCCAGTGCCAGGCTGGGGAATTTCTAGAGGTTTTGAGATGGACTGTAAGGAGGGCTGGGTTTTGGGAAGGGAGAAGCCTCAGCTGGGTGCATATGCCCCTTGTAAGCCGCCCTGAGCCCACTTGCGGGGAGGGCGGGGTATAAATGTTTAAATAAATAAATAAATAAAAGACCACCCTCCAAAGCAGCCATTTTCTCCAGGGAGACAGATCTCTGCTGTCTTGAGTTCAGTTGTAATTCGGGTGTGTGTGTGTGTGTGTCTGTGTCTCCAGGCCCTACTTAGAGGTTGGCAACCCTAGGACTGGCAGTAGTCTAGGGTTGCCAGGCCCCCCCCCCAGCCAGTGGCAGGGGATGGGGGGGTAAGGTTGCCAGATCCAGGCTGGGAAACTCCTGGAGATTTGCGGGTGGAGCCTGGGGAGGACAGGGACCTCAGTGAGGTACAATGCCATAGAGTCCACCCTCCGAAGCATCCATTTTCTCCATGGGAAGTTATCTCTAGTCTGGAGATGAGCAGTAATTCCAGGGGATCCCCAGATCCCACCTGGAGGCTGGCATCCCTAGGCAGCACCCTCTGGGTGACTTGATACCACCTGATTTGCATGATTCAAGTAGGTCCAGCTGCTTGCTACTGTTCATGAACAACCACCCTATGACAGCCAGTGTGATGTAACAGTTAGAGCTTCAGATTAGGGTGTGCGAGATCCAGGTTCAGATCCCCATCTTGCAGTGGAAGCTGACTGGATGATTTTGGTCCAGTCACATACTTTCAGCCTAACCAATCTAACAAGGTTGTTGTGCAGATAAAAAGGAGGAGAGAATAATGTAAGCTGCTTTGGTCTCCACTGTGGAGAAAGACTGTAATTTTCCTAGGTAGAGGCTGTGTGAGAGGGTTGTGGAGATGGAAAGCTGAGGACAGAGAGGCAGATAAAGGTAGTTTGGCTGTTGGGTGGGAACGTAATTGTGTTGCCAACTCCAGGTTGGGAAATTCCTGGACATTTGAGGAGTGGAGCCTGGGGAGGGTGGGATTGGAGGAGGGGAGGAACTACAGACCAGTATAATGCCATATACTCCACCCTCCAAACCAGCCATTTGCTCCACAAGAATTACCATTGCCAGCCTCCAGGGGAGGGCTGGAGATCACCCAGAATTACAACTATTGTCCAAGTGAAAGAGATCAGTTTCCCTGGATAGGGCCTGGTGGCTGGGAGCCGCGTGGGCCTCGCCGTTGGTGCTGGGGGGTTGGGGGGAGAATTGGTGGGCCCGGAGAGAGAGAGTAACAGAGTGACAGTGAGAAGAGGAAGCAAAAGCAAAACTGGAGCTGGGATTGGGGAGGATTCCTCCTGCAGGATTCCTTCCTCTTTTGCTGCAGGCTCCACTGTCCTCTTAAAACTTTCTCGGTGTGGGAGAGGCTTTTAACTGGTTCTGTCAGTAAAAGGCAGGGGAAGGGGGAAGGGCCCTTTCCAGGCCTATTTTGGCCTTTCAGGGAGGGATTCTTAGGGTCAGGCCTAAGGGTTGCCAGTGCCAGAATAGGAAATTCCTAAGATTTGGTGGTGGAGTCTAAGGAGGTCTGGGTTTGGGGAAGGGAGAGGCCTCAGCTGGATATAATGCCACAGAGTCCAGCCTCCAAAGCAGTCATTTTTTCCAGGGAGACAGATCTCTGCTGTATATAATTCAGTTGTAATTCTGGGGGATGTCCAGGTTCCACCTGGAGGTTGGCAACCTTAGGACTGGCAGCACCCTCTGGGTGACTTGATACCACCTGTCTTGCATGACTCAACTAGGTCTAGCTGCTTGCTATTCTTCAACATCAGTTACTCTATGGCCTCGGTCACATGGGCCGGATATCGCGGTGGGGGGGGGGAGGCATGGCTGTTTCCCCCGGAGCGAACTACCGCGTGGCAGCCAGATCAAACGTCCCGCCCGACATCCTGCTGACGCCCCGTGGTTGGGGGGAGGTGCCGATCATACGCCACTCCTGCAGCGCGGCAAAGAAGCGGCGCCGCAGGGGTTGTGTTGTTTTTTTTAACCCAAGTGTTCGCATGTGCCGTTGGGTGCTTGTGCGCACCCATGGAGACTTGACAAAAAAACCCACTTTTCACGACGGGACATGGGCGGGCGCCGGATGCCACGAGCTAACACCAGAAATGTGATCTGACGCCCGCCCTTGCCCCGCGGTTTTCGGAAACTAGTACCTCGGAGGTACTAGTTTTTTACAGCGCATCTTCGGAGTGAAGCCTCAGGTGAGCCACGGGAGCTCTACGCTTCCCAGATGTGGCGGTGAGATTGCGCCCGGAAAATCCGCCTATCTTCCGTCTCTCTAGCGTGCCTAATGCTCCGGGGCCCACGAAAGCCAGTGTAATGCAGCAGTTAGAACTTCAAAGTATGGTCTGCAAGACCCAAGTTCTGATCCCCATCTTGCAATGGAAGCTGATTTTGGACCAGTCACATACTTTCTGGCTAACCAACCTCACAGGGTTGTTGTGCAGATAAAAAGGAGGAGAAAATAATGTAAGTTGCTTTGGTCCCCAGTGTGGAGAAAGACTATAATTTTCCTAGGTCAAGGCTGTGGAGGAGAAGGAGGATGCAGATGGAAAGCTGAAGACAGAGAGACAGATAAAAGTAGATTGGCTGCTGGGTGGAAAAGAAATAAGGTTGCCAGCTCTTGGTTGGGAAATTCCTGGACATTTGAGGGGTAGAGCCTGGGAAGGGTCAGATTTGAGGAGGGGAGGAACTTCAGACTGGTATAATGCCATAGACTCCACCCTCCAAACCAGCCATTTTCTCCACAGGAACTACTATTGCCAGTTTCCAGGTGAGTGCTAGAGATCACCCAGAATTACAACTGTTGTCCAGGTGACAGAGGTCAGTTTCCCTGGATCTCTTTATCATTGTCCAATGATATTTATTTGTTTGCTAATGATATTTATTTGTCTAAGAGAGAGGAGGAAAGAAAGAGATAAACAGAGAGAGAGAGAAATCAAAGCAAGCAAACAGTTGGTTGAGGGAGAGAGGGGGAAGGAAGGAAGGAAGGAAGGAAGGAAGGAAGTTTTAAAAAATGCATTCTCCAGCCCCCGCCCTCCTGGCTGGTTGGCTGGCTTGGCGAAAGTATTTAAAGAGGCAAATGCCTTCTCCAAACCAGCCAGCGGGGGGCGGGCGGCTTTGAGAACACATTTAAAGTGCAAGTTACTTTCTTTCTCTGCCCCGCTACCTCAAGCCTACCCAGGGAGGGGAACTTCCTCAGCCACCCTGCCAGGAGCTGCACAACATGCCTGGTATATCCAAACATATGAGACAGAAGCCTGTAAATGGCAAGAGAGGGCTGCTTCACACATTTTTTCCTAAGTAGATGTAGACGGAAAAGACAGGCACTTGTGTACAGTTATGAATAAGAGACACATACTTATTTTTCTTGGTGTACATGTATGTGAAAGCTACAACGCCCCCCAGAAAAGTGTGTCTTTGTACACTTTTAAAAGTGAAGTGCTAATCTGCTGTAGTTGGGATTGACTTTCCTTCTGTCTATTCAAGCCTCTGTCTTTGGTCCGGCACCCAGCAGAGTGCTAATCTGAACATATGGTTTCCTCCTCAAGGACACAGGAGCAGGTATGAGTCACTGAGCTTGGAACAAATTGCATGGCAATTGCCTGTTCTGAAATTATAGCTTTCTCCTTTGCCATGACTATATAATATATTAATTCTGGGAAAAAGACAAATTGTAGTGAGCTGTGGCATATGGTGGTTTCTGAACAAGTACATGTGGCAAAACAGAGGATGGCACTATTTCCCCCTTACATATACCTCTGTTTAAAATAAGGCATATATGAAGGAGGTCTCAGACCTGATTGACACAATTGAAGCTGAGGTTCCAGCAGCTGAGTGCAATGACCTTGTGATCTCTTCTGGAGAATCATTTATATGAAACAGCCCATGTGAGGAAAATGTTGAGATTTCTACACAGAAGAAGCCACTAATCATGAACTAGGAAAAATTGTCACCCCAGAGTGAAGTGTGTGAATGAGGCCCGAGGAAACACCTTTGGAGTCAGTTGGCTTTTGTTTGAAAATAATTAAGAGTTCTTGGATTGCTTATATTTGTATCTTTAGTTATCTTATCCTTAGATAAGAAAGAGAGAAAATGTTGTCATGCAATAAGACTATCAGAAGTATGTGAAGACAGTTTTCCCTTCCTATATTCTGTTTTTGGAGAGTGCATGCTCAATTACCAGACCTTTTGTAACAGTAGTTGGAAGTGTATCTGTGTAGTAGGGATAGTAGGTTAGTTTTCTTCACACTGTTTTCCTTCTCAAAACAAAAAATGTAGCTGGTCTCAGAACACCTGACCTTCAGACAATTTATTTTCCAGAGGAATTTTGTGGCGTTACAGGGGATGCTGATTTGGGACCAGTCTTTGCAAATGTTGGATGCCTCAAAAACAAATCAACACCTTTAGAAGCAGGAACAGCAATACTGATTATGCTAATGCACTTAGAAGCAGGGTCATGATTCAGCCTTGCTTTACTCTGAGACTATTTCTTGAAGAGAAAAAAACCCCAATAAATCTTTCTTGTAGTGGTCTAATTTGAAGGCCAAGTCTACAAATAGATTTTGCTGGCAAGCTATGCAGTCCCTTTAATACTATCTATACATGCCATGCAGCAGTTTTATGACAAATACTTCATTTTATATTCATTCAAGCAGCTTTCTGTATTTTAACCTTCAGTTCAGAACATAAATATAAGGCTGACAGCTTTATGGGAAAGGAAAAAAGGGACTATAGATAATTAACTGTTGAACTGTAAAAGTATTGATTTATCCTTTGCTTATTTCCTTCTGCATGTAAGCAAATTTAAAAACTCTACCAAACAAACCCTGATATAAGTCGCACAGACTCCTTACCCCACAGAGCCATGAAGACAGAGAAGAAGACAGTTGCTGGGTTATCAAACAGATGGCTTGCCCGAGCTGTGGCACAAGCAGAGCTCATTTTCCAGTAGCTGCATGTTCTGTCACATAAAGGACACATGGTAATATTGATTCTCTGGTCACACATCTCCATGCTGAAAGTCAATGAAAAGAGTAAAATGAATACATTCAATTGTCAAACTTGGATTTTCTCTTTTGTGTGCACCCCACAGAATGCATATTCATTTGCCTAATTTATCCTATCTTCCTTTCAGTCCAGCAATTGTCTCAGTGTCAGATCCACATTACTGTACTGTTAGGGTTCCCAAGTACTTACCGCAATCCGGCGGGGAAAACATGCTCCCTGGCCGGACCATTCCTCCCTGTAACACAGCATGCTGTCGCCAGGAAGTGATGCTGGGCGACGCTCTGGCAATGGGGCTGAAAACTCGATGGTACCAGAGCATTCCTGTTGTCCCTGCAGGAATGATCCTGCGAAGACGTCTTTGTCCCCCGCCGAATCACGGTAAGTACTTGGGAAGCCTGAGCCTAACTGATCCCTAACATTCTTCTCCCTGCTCAGCTAACTCAATTTAACCCCCAAGCCACCCTACTACTCTTTCCATCCACCTGCTTGTGCCACCTGCTGCCTTGCCTGTGTCTATCTCCATTCCTCCCTTTCATTTCCTTGCCAGCCCAGGCTAGCCATATCTCATCATATCTCAGAAGCTAAGCAGGGTCAGCCCTGGCTAGTATTGGATGGGTGACCTCCAAGGAATACCAGGGTCATGACGCAGAGGGAGACAATGGCAAAGCACCTCTGAAACATCTCTTGCCTTAAAAACAAGTCTAGCTCACCAGTGCTAAAGAGCTAGAACACCTGGCTGCCAGACAATCTTAGAATTTCCTGGCTGTACTACATACAAGGTCATGCACTAGTTATTATTCTGAACGGATACCTGCCTTGATATTGTGGAAAACAATGATATATAAAATGTGCATGTAAATCTTTATACATAATGGTTGGAAAGTTTTTTTCTTTTAAAAATACTTTTTAATCAGCTTTTGGAAGATCATAGAAATACTGAGTTCAAATCCCACATGAACCATGTTGGGAAAATCATTTTCCTTCTACCTAACTCATCCCAAAGTCTTTTTAGCAACTAAAAGATCTGAATATACGATACTCTAATTCCATGGGAAAGAGTGGGGTACAAATGTAATAAATACGTATATTACATTTCTATCTGTTTCTTCCTCCATGTCACTGTGAAGGTGTACATGGTTCTCCTCTGCATATTTTATCGTTATAACAACCCTGTGAAGCAGGTTAGACTGAGAGAGAGTGACTGTTCCTAGGGTGCTTGCTGAGCAATCCTAAGAACACTTTACTGGAAGTAAGCCACATTGAGTAGACTTGAGTAGGATTCTGGTTAGGATTGCATGTCTAGTAAACTTTATGGCAGAATGGGAATTTGAATCTGGGTCTTCCCACTCTTAGTCCAAAACTCTAACTACTATGCCATCCTGAGAGATTCAGGTGGGTAGCCATGTTGATCTGAAGCAGCAGAACAGAGTTCGAGTCCAGTGGGGCACCTTTAAGACAAGTTATTCAAGTTATAAGCTTTCGTATGTGTGCACATTTTTTCAGATACATTGAAATGGAAGTTACCAGTCCATACATATAGCCAGAGGGTCAGCAGCAAATTAGAATACAGCATAATAAAAGTGTTTAACAGATGCAAGGACCAAACTGGAATAACAAGCTTGGCTTATATGGTCATCGTTTGTTTGTGTTTAATTCCAGGGGAAAACATAGTGAAGGAAATATATCAAAATTGGAGATAGACAGGTAGATATGTTAAGGAGCCCATCTATCTTCAATTTTGATATATTTATATCCTTCACTATGTTTTCCCCTGGAATTAGACCCAAACAAATAGTTACCATATAAGCCAAGCTTGTTATTCCAGTTTGGTCCTAGGAGTTCCTGCTACAAAAAGAGCCTAAACCATCTGTATGCCATTACTATGCCATCCTGGTTCTAATTCATGGTTTCCGACCATTTCTCTTTCTCTAATCCTCAGATATTCCCTCCCTCCCTCCCTCCCTTTATAAATACTTCCAGGTTGTAAGCACTCTCCTAAATCTTTCAACTTGGGTCATCCCTTTAAATGTGATTTCCCTTGTAGTCCTTTATCATCCTTGCTGATCTTTCCTGAACTCTTTCCAAGCTGTCAACACCCTTCTTGAACCATGATGCTCAGTAATAAAGATTTCAACCACAAGTAAACTAAAATGTCTGTTTTTATTATGTCTATTATCAGTCAGGTCATCATGTCTGTTATCAGTGAGGTATTCATGATTATTCTAGACTTCAGGAGAGAAATCTCCAGAAAACATTTAAATGCTGATCTAAAATAAAGTGAATGAGAAGCATATTTTCTGGTCTTCATTTAAGAACAATCCCTTGGCAAAAAGGGATTTTCCATACAACTCTGCTGACAGTTTATACTGGTGTGTCATATTAGAGATATGTTAAGAACACAGTGTGGTCTGATGGGTGACTGATTACATATAGACAACTGATCTACATATTACAAAGAATGATGACGTTGATAAAATCCAAAACTTTACCACTTCAGACTACAGATGTGAATTTAGATATGTCTGTTCCAAATATATATGTGAAAAATTCCCTATCAATATATTTTGGATATATTTGAGTATCCAGATTGATATTTGGATTTTCTGGAATATCAATAATCAGGTCCTCAAAAGTTCCAAAAATATTCAGAAATATTTGGGGCCAGCATTTTAAGGCTTCCAGAAAATGGGATCAGACATTAGAGGGATCACTAGAACTCTCTGCCCAATTATGACAATTCTCTGATAGCCCTCCATGGATCTCTGAGCATGGGGAAAGAGCATAAAAAGCAGCCCTGACGCCAATGTTCCCTCTAAGCTCCACAGTGCTGTGAGCAAAAATTCTACCTTGTGAGTGAAAAAAGTTAATAGCATTAAAGTTGTGAGCGAGTCTACATTTGACTATTGCATAAATTAGTTTTTTAGATTATTTCTATAACCTTGTAAAATCTCAATATGAATTCTTTTAAACTATATTTTAAGAATAATTTAAACATGTTAAGAGAAAACAGAATCAAGTCAAATTTCTTTACAGAAAATGTTGTCCTCTATGGGGGTAGACCAGGCCTCCAGAAAACAGGTCTACCTTCCCCTTTCCACTATATTGGTAGACCTGACCTCAGACTGTTGCCCTGAGCTGAGCCTTAGAAAACATACCAGCACTTATGAGGGGAAAACTCTTGCAGTCTATTTTGGGTTTGTTTGTTTTTTAGTGAAATATGACAAATTACAGGTCAAGTATAACAGAGGTGGAACAATCACTGTCAGGACCCTGCGTAATCTAACAAACAGGAATTTGCTTAAATGTTATCAACCTGCCCAAACTACTTATTTATTCAAATATTTATATCCCATTTTCCCTGTGACTCAAGGCAACTTACTAATCATACTGAAAAGCATAATGGGTGCGCAAAAATATATATCTATTTTTGGGCTCCATTATAGCCTATGGAGACTATTATAATCAATGGGACCCATAGGCTCTAATGGAGAATTGATCTGGGGGTATCTGGGGCTCTGGGGGTGGTGTTTTTTGAGGTAGAGACACCAAGTTTGCAGCATAGCTGCTGGTGCCTCTCCTAACCACCCCCCAAGTTTCAAAAATATTGGAGCAGGGGGTACAATTCTATGGGCCTCAGAAGGAGGTGCCCCCATCCTCCATTGTTTCCAAATGAGGGGAAAATGCCTTAGTGTGAGCAGAACCTTAAAATCCTTGAGCTGGAGCTAAAATTTTGTGCAGCAGCACCCCCTAGCACAGCTTAGAGGGAACTCTGCAGATTGCAGCCGGAGTCTATTTGCGTCTGGGCTCAAGAAGCATTTAAGGAAGCACCAGCAGACGGTGCTTCTTCAGGTGGAGAGAGGCTGATGAAGTGGCTGTGCAGCTGCCACCCAGCCAAGAGATGAATCCCTCTGGTGCTTTGCCCTGCAGATCTCCTGTAGAGAAAGGATGCCAAGTTATCTCTAATGGAGCTGTTTGACACAGCTGGCACTAGACTGCCAAGAGTTGGCAGAAGTGGCCGGAGCAGAGGATCACTCACTTCATTGGCAAAAAGATTGTGCTACACAGATAGCCCATTTCTATTGTCAGTTCTGCAGGCTGCTCCAAGATGCCCGTCCCTGGTACATGATACATGCTTGCACCATGCTGAGCAACAATGTGGTACCCTCCCTGTTTAGGGCTTCCAGGGATCATGTGAAGGCACAGTTGTTTTGTACTTATGACATCTGGACAGCTACCCAGCACTGAACTTTGACAGTGAGTGAAGTGAGCATGTGCTTGCATTCTCTCAGTCTGTGTTGGGGAGTTGAGGAACAAAAGCTCTTCCCCAAACTTAAAACAAAAATGTTAAAACAAAACTAGCAAACAAAAAACAGCAGGGTAGTTAGCCAGTTTGATTCGCACTATATAAAATCCACATTCTAAATTGTGCTCTAAAACACTTTCAACTGAACCCTAGTTGCTGTGCTGTATGGGGCGATGGTGATAGCTGGATCCAGTACCTCTCAGTACAGTTCTGTTCAGAAAAGAAATACAGAGGATGCCAGAAAATGTCATTCTTGCCATTCTCATAAAGGAAAAAAGCATACAAATATGATTGGAACAAGAGCCGTTAGGATAGTAGATAAATATCTCTATTAAAATTAGCACATCCCACAAAATCACCTAAAATGGAGCTCATACTGCTGTTTTGTGGAAGGGAACAGGGGTGGAAGGGAACAGAAACACCAGTGGTGATGGGTAGCTGCCAGTGGTGGTTACAGACTGCAGACAGAGGAGAACTCTGGTGCCCAACCCCGCTGTTTTCTGAGGCCTTCCTTGGGGAAATGATGTTAGTGAGTGTGTGTGTGTTTTGTCAGGTCTGGCTGCCTGCTTTGGTACTGGTTTGCTAGGTTGGGCCCTTTCTGCATTTGCCTGCCCCTCTGGATTTTCTCAGTGTCCGAGCTGAGGCAATTTAAGTCCATAGCAAAACAGCATCCAAATAACCTAGGGCAACAGCAGACTGAAACCGGGTTGACTACTGAAGGGAAGTAATGTAATGTAGAATGGAGAAAAAAAATGGAATAAAAAGGTTGAACTGGATTTTAGTGCAGGATGGGGAAAAAAACCTGGCTTAAAAAGAAGGTTGAATTCAATTTCAGTGCAGAATTGCTTGGAGGACACTGCAGTGAACATGGATTAAAAAGAGAATGCAGAAAGGGCCCTGGTTTGGCTTAGATTCTCTGGTTTGACACTGGTTCTCTTCAGCTTGCCATATTGGCCCTGGGTTCTGCTTAGCTTCTATGGATTGACAATGGTTCTGTTGGGTTTGTAACAGTGTCCTTTCCTTAAAATGAGTTGGCTTGGATTCTCTGTTTTGAAATTGATTGTGTTTGGCTTGCCACATTGGACAGTGGGTTCATTGGGATTCTCTGGTTTGACATTGGTTTTGTTTGGTTTGTTAATTCTGTTTTCATTTTGGAAGGTTTTGGCCAGTGGCTGCTCTTGTGCACTTAGTTATTGGCTTCTTTGCACTGGAGAAAGCCTGGACATTTCCCCCCATAGGGAACAAAGGAGACAAGTAGGATGGCTGGGAGCACCTTGTTCAGGGGCCCATAGAATTGGACCCTTTAATCCAATTTGCTTGAAACTTGGGGGAGGTGTCTTTAGTGGACAGGCAGGAATAGGTTCCCTTCAATGTTAGTGGCATTTGATTGAAACACTCCTCCCCTCCAAATAGTCCCCCATAGTGAATAATGGACCTCCAAAATTTTAGAATTCAGAAAGTTTTTTAATCTGAATTCCAAAATGGCACCTGAATAATCTGGAACACTGGTATGTATACCCTTCCTGAAATTCGAATAATTCAGAATCTTTTCAAGTACACATCCCTCCTTCAGACTGTGGGTGGCCCATGGCCACCAGCCAAAAAATAAAATACTGACAGACACTATAAGGTAGCTTCATCTATATATATAAAAGAAAGTCCCCTCACCGTAAAATCAATGCCCAGGCCAAACTGCTGGACCTAGAAGCATGAAATTCGGAGAAAGCACTCCTACCATGACATAGATGCTTGCTAAGAAGGGATTTTAAGAAATTTGACTCCTAAGTGGGTCAAAAGGGATAAAATGTGCTCCCCCCATTGATTCCTATGCGGCTGCCAGGCTGCTGCCTCCTTGCACTCCCCACTCTCTGATTGGTCAGCTGCAGAGCTCTGTGTTCTGAGGTAAAAAAACCCAACCCAGTTACAGGGGACTACAGAGAGCTAATGACAGTTGAGGAAATCGGGAGTGGCCAACTGCCTGTGAGGTGAAGCAAAGCTGCTGGCCCAGCCTCCCTATGGCTTCAAACATGCTCCCCCCTCCTACACCCGACAGGCAGTTGTCTGTCAGGTGCAGCAGCAGTTGCAGGGTGCTTAAAGCCACGAGGGTGTTACTGCCCGAGCAGTAACACCTTAGTGATCCTGCCAGCCCCGCCTCCGCAGTAGCTTCTAATACTCCTCCCCCCTTCCCCTCCTACACTGGATAGGCAGGTGATTGTCAGGTGTAGGAGAAGAGGTGTGATGCTTATGGCCGCCGGGGAGGTTTGCTCAGCAGGATTGCCTTAGCCCTGCTGCTGGCCTAGCCTCCCTGATGCCTTTAAACATGATCCCCCCAAACACCAGACAGGCAGGTGTCTGTCAGGTGTAGAAGCAGGACCAGGGTACTTTAATCCATCAGGGACGCCGCCCCAGCAGGATCACCTTAGCGATGCTGCTGGCCCAGCCTCTCTGATGGCTTCCAACACACTCCCCCCATCTCCTACACCTAACAGGTGGTTGTCTGTCAGGTACAGCAGTGGTTGCAGAGTGCTTAAAGCCACGAGGGAGCTCGTCCCAGCAGTCTACAGAGAAGTCCTTCAGTAGAGAGAGAAAAAGTATGTATGTCTCACTTCATTTTTTACACTACAATCTTCTCCATTAGAATTCCTACAACAAATGTTACATTTCAAACTTTGCATCATCAGTATTATAACTGGATTTATGGAAGTTAAATACCATAGCGAAGCACAGTTATCAGGCTAGTATATTTATAAAATGTTCAAAGTATGTGTAAATTAGCATGAGAAAGACTTGATTCAGCCCTCTCCCTCATGCACATTCAGGAATCTGAGAATTCAAATGTATGCCTGATGATCTGCAGTCTGAATTATTTTGGTCCAAAATCCCCCCCACCTCATTCTCAGCAATGAACAGAATAGCTTGTAAATAGGAGATGGAGGGCTGAATACATCTCATCCCTCCTCTGAGTGGAAAACACCTCTGAAAGTTGAAGTGTGACTGCAATTTCCATGTATTTTCCCCTCTAGCTATAGACACAGATATGCTGTTCCATAACGTTTAGGGTAGTTCCTTGATGGGCACAGCTCCTGTATCAAGAAGGATATGTGTGGTTCTTAGGGTCCAAGCCTAAATTAGGAACTGGTGCTAAAAGTAAACTAAGTCCAGCACTGTAAATTTTACATTATGGTTTCTGCTTCTTATAGTATGTTATGATGATTTCACCCTCCCTCAAAGGGTTTCCATTTATCTTGTTCTTTGCTGAGCAGCACCATTTCCCTTTGATTTTCTCTGGCTGTCCTTTGAATGTATATTGTTAGATGCTGACCCAGCCTAGGGAACTGAGGGGAAAGACTAAAATCCTTCCTTTTTTACCTGGTTTGATAATGGTACATGAGAGGCTGATGGTAAATCAAAAATAACCAACTGTTCTATTTCACTTTGTGGGGAAATGGCCAGGTAAGAATCAAGTATAGGATTTATGAGGTGAACAGGCAACAGGAATGAAGTAACTTTGTATAAAAATAAATACCAGATAATTTGTCACAAACAAAGTCACTGTTTTTGTTATTCAGATACGTCTTTAAAACTTGAGGAGAGATATTTCTTGGCAGTTTTTTGTACCTAGACTAGCATAAGCTTCTTGGTCTAACAGACACTAAAGTTGGTGAAGACAGGAACATTCACACAAGTTCCAGCTTCCTTCCTTATCCACTGGGTAGGGATCACCCCCATATTTTAGGAGCTATTTCTCTCAGACCTGTTAGGGATGGGCTATGCTTCCTACTTCCCTAACTCAGGATCCTTCTTGACCCTTTTCCCAGTCTCTTAGCCTCTCCGTATTAAGTGTCAGTTCTTAACTGCCAGCTCTCAACTGCCACTCCTAACTGACTCTCTCAACTGAAGAATTCCATTTGAATCCCCTGTCACTCAGGTTTCTCAGACCAGGCTGCAGCTTTAACCATTTACTGTCTGTAACATATGTCATGGTAAGTTCTGCATTTCATTGTCACATCCTTTAAAGCTCTATGTATACAATATTTTGTTTTGCTATTCTATACAAATATCCTCAACCAAATTTTAAAAAGAAGCAACAATGTTAAATAAAACCAACCATCTTCCATAAAATACAATTGTGCTACTGGTGCAGCACTTGGCTAATATATATATTATTAACTTCATTCTACTATCCATAGCCAATATTGATCTAATTTCATTTAAGCATCTGAAAGTTTAAAAAGCAGTCACACTGAACAATGACTCTTGAGAGATATAAAACAGGTAAACTGATAAGTTTACTGAGGTCAGCCTAAAGTCTGGTGTCTTCCTTGTGCACTCAGAGGATGGTGATGAATAGAAACTATGGATGGCTTATATTTCAGTTTTGTTCTATCAAATTCTAGAAGGCCAATTCTAGATTTGCATTCTTGTCCACACACTAGATCTTACCTTATGTAGGCAACCTGACATGAAACTGTTGCCTCCCACACCTCATACAAACAGCTCTACCAATGTGGCAGAGTATATGCATCTGTGATAGCTAGAACATAAAGGTAAAGGTTCCCTTGCTCGAAAGCCACTCGAATCCGACTCTAGGGTTGCGGTGCTTATCTCCGTTTCAAAGCCGAAGAGCCAGTGCTGTCCGAAGACATTTCCGTGGTCATGTGGCTGGCATGACTAAACACCAAGGCGCACGGAATGCTGTTACCTTCCCACTGAAAAGGAAACCTCAAAATAGCAAGAACTTCATGTGACAATTGGGGTCATATAACATTTGAACTGAAGTGCATAGCATAGATTGTAGCAAGATGGGGGCTGCAGTCTTAAACTTGAGGCTTGTAAAGCTAGTATGACTAATCCTTTCTCACAACACAGATCAAAACTTTGAAACACATGGACCCCGGAGACCCATGTATGTGTATGTTTACCTTGGTATATTCTCATCCACTGTTGCACAACCATACAGGAACACGATAATCCCTACGATGGAAGCTGGAATAAGCATTTGTGTATAAACTCCCAGCCAGGCAAAATACAAGCCAATCTTCTCACCGAAGTACTTCCTGAAATACATGGCAGAGGGAAAACATTGTAATGTTTACTATTTCTTAAAGTATATCATGGCTAAACCTATGAATCACAGCAGGGTTGAGTTTGAAGGGGAAAATAAGCCCTCTTGATAAGCTGGAATGCATTTCCCTTTGGAGGATTCTGTTTTGCATGCTCCTTGGAATTGATCCAGGGCTGGAACCACCATGTCAGCCATCTATCCCTGCTTACTGCACAGCTTTGCCTTTCTTTCTTTCTTTCTTTCTTTCTTTCTTTCTTTCTTTCTTTCTTTCTTTCTTTCTTTCTTTCTTTCTTTCTTTCTTTCTTTCTTTCTTTCTGAAACTTTATTGGAATCAAGAATAACAATCAGAATAACAGCACACTGTGAATGCTTGCAATTTATATTCTTCTCCTTTAATTTTAAGTCCTTTAATCTGCATATTTTCTCTTACCATAACTATGGCTAGAATTTTATATGCAAAGAAGAAGTCCCATCTAAAGAAGAAATAATCTATAAATTACTGGAAACAGCAGAAATGGACAAACTAGCTTTACAATTACAAGATAAAAAAGAAGACATTTTTGAGAAGAACTGGTTAAGACTCTATAAATGGATTGAGGACTATCTCACAAAATGTGTAACATAATATTTAAAACATAACCTCTATTTGCTAAAATGTTAAACTGATCTAGGTGCATAACAGTGATTCTATCTTTGTGCAAAATTTAAGTAGTTACAATGAGTACAGACTCCATATTTGTTGTATGTTAGTCTTTCTCTCTTTGTAGCTGTTGCTTTCTTTTCTTTCACTTTTGAAAAACTAATAAAACTAACTCTCTCTCTCTCTCTCTTTATATACACACACACACACACACACACACACACAGGGCTACTTTTGGGCAGGAACGCACAGGACCGGCGTCCCGGCTGGCTTCAGAGCTGGCCACACCCACTACAGCCAAAACCTCTGTGTGTGCGTGGCTACAGGGGGAAGGCCTGGAGAGTGACCCCCCTGGTGACTCTGAGGCAGGGGGCCCTGGAAGGATTGGGGAGGCATTTAAATGCCTCCCCGTGCCTTCCCTGGCCTGTACACGGGCCAGCTTGCCTGGGTTCCCTCAGCAATGGGGTGCCCAGGCAACCCAAAGGAATGCAGTTTAAATTGCCTCCTGCCCCTTCAAGGGGGGGCTTGCCCGGGCTCCCCATAGCCAAGAGTGCCTGGGCAAGCCAAGGGAAGGCATGGGTGTGTGGTCTAATATGCTAATAAGTTGCACTGTTGGGTGTAGCCTAATATGCTAATAGGTTTCTGCTGTTGGGTGTGGCCGGTTATGCTAATGAGTTCCTGCTGGGGTTTTTCTACAAAAAAAGCCCTGGGGGGAGCCAATTTTTCTGGCTCTTTTTTTTTTTTTTGCAACCACAAGCATTTGGGCACCCTTAGATCACGAAAGCCCCTCTGCAAAAGGATGGTCGCTGCAATACAGTGCAACCAGGGGTCATTTCCTGCAGGAGCGCACAGGAGCAGAGCTCCGGCAGTAAAGAGCCCAGGGGGCGGGCACATGTAACAAGCCCCACCCCCTGCTCCCAGCAGCCCTCAGTCAGAGCAAGAAGCAGCCAGGTAAAGGATGGAGGTAAGATTTTTGTGTGAATCATCCCAAGAGGAGGAGTCCCAAAGATTTAGAAGTAAGAGCTGTGGTGTGGCTGGGAGCAATTGCCTAGTAATTTTATTGATTTGGGATATGACTTCATGCCAGAATTGCTGGATGAATGGGCATTCCCACCAGCAGTGGAGGTATGTGGCTATGGGAGCCGCATTTCTTCCAGCACAAAGGGTTATATCTAGAGTTCATGCGATTCAGCTTTTTTGATGTGAGGTACCATGTGTTGATGATTTTGAATGAGGTCATCCGGATGTTATAAACTCTTGAGGAATTTGCAGGAGAGTTACAAATGTTGAGCCAATGTGATTGCTGTAAATCCATTTGGAGATCTGCTCTCCAATTTTTTTGGCAAGGTATGGATTGAGAACCTTCTGCAGATAAAAGAGTCTTATAAATTTTGGAGAGCAGTCCTTTCATTGAGGAATCATATATAGTCAGGGAAGTCTCAAACTCCATTTTTGGACTTGTAAAAGTATCTTCTTGAGCTAAACATTCCGTCAAGTTCTTTAGCAGAACCAGGGAATTTGTTTTCCAATCAGTTCTTCAAAACGGATTTTATCTAGTATTTTCCCTTTTTTAACTAGATCCAGAAGACATGTTAGACCAGCTGCAGTCCAATCCCTAAAAGTTCCTGATTCTGTGCCTGGAGGAAACCAAGGTTGGTTAGTGTAAGATGACAATTGGGAGATCTTCGGGGTTACATGTGCTCTTCTGGAATCCCAAACCTTTAATGTGGCATTTAAAAAAACAATTATTTCATACCTGAATCGGATAGTGGGATGGTGCTTTGCCCTTCTTTCTTGATACCTCCCTTGATAACTATAGGATTGCCAATATGCTTACTCACTTGTCTTCCTATTAGTGCACTGACCATGCAAGATCTCATGTGCTTGCAAGAGCAATAAATGAGTCAGATACCAAGCAAAGGGTCAAAGTCTTGCTTTACTTTGCACAGATAAATGTGATGTATAAGACTTTGTAATAGTTTGGGAATGTCTGGCAGCTACATTCTTTCATGAAGAGGGAGTTTAGAGGGGGAAAATGTCATCATTGATTTTCTTCTGTGAAGCTTTCAATAAGTGAACTATTAACATATTCCAGCTGCAAAGCCCAATTTTGGACTATTGCAACATTAAAACAAATTGTGGAAGGAAAAAGGGTCAGGGAACACAGAAACAGAAAGAAACATTCAGTAGCAATTCTACAGGAGCCACTGAAAAGGACAGAATGGGTTTGCATAACAGTGGCTGCTCCTAGCCAAGTTATCTCATGCTGGAGATGAAGCTAAGGTTGCCAGGCTGCAACCTCGAGATTCACTCTTCACAGCTGAATCCAATTATTAAAGGGCAGAGAAAGCAACCATGGTTTCTCCTCCCACTTCTGACCCTCACTCTGTCCTGTTGTCCACCCTATTTAACCAGTGGCTCAGTTCCAAGATGTCTCTTTGTTACAAAGAGAAGCATGTAATGGGGGGAAAAAGGGAAAGGGGGAATGGGCACTTTCCACTTCATTAGAGGTACATTTCTTTTTATATAACAATTATTTATTTTCATAACAAACAAACATTAAATTGGGATACAACATTTCAGTCTTTCTTTTCCTCTATTAAACTACCTCATACATTAACTAATTCTACATCATTTTCCCACCTACGGTTATCATATAATATTTGCAAATATATAAGTATACAGTTTCTTTTATTCTGGTATTATAGGTGTTGTCTAAACATATTGTTAAATTCTTTCTTTGGATATATAAAAAGGCATAATTCTTTATTCTCTCCTGGATATTAATGTAATGTTCTTACTCCATTATCAATCTCAGAAATTCCCTCAGACGTTTCCCATCCCTTTTGTAGCTTTCCTCTTCTTGATTTTCTGATTTCTCCTCTTAAGTTTTAAAGTCTTAATTTTGTGTCTTTTCCCCTTATAAGTGTAGAAATCTTCTGAGTGTTGGTTTCTTTTGTCTCTCTGAGGTGACATGTGACTTCTTACTTTGGCTATTTCATCACTGATGGTTCTTTTATAAAGTCTCTGATACACATTTGTGGAAGTTTCTTTTCTTTTTATAGGTGCGAACTCCATTCTGTTGATCATGTCATCTTAATTGTAGGTTTCCTCAATATCCTATACACAGTCATGTCTTTTTTCCTCCTCTTTGCAGGTTATCTGAACTGCTTCCTTCTTAGTTTGTTGCATCAGCATTTCTGTTTCTTCTTGTTTAGGGAAAAAATTTCTTTGACTGCCCTCTTTATAACTACCATAGCTGTGTTTTGAATTAAAATATGCAAATTCTTTAGGGAAACCTGTAATAATTCATTGCTTATAAGTTCCATTGTATCTGAAAATAAAGCCTCTGGCATTGTTTGAAGTCTATCTGTGCCATCCATTTTTTCAACAACGTGTTAAAACCAAAGAATCTCTAGAAATATTTTCCAACAAAGTTTTATAATGGCACCACGTCTAATAAGGATATAATCAGCAATAATAAGCATGTATCAACAACTGTTATAGTCATAACATAAGTCAAGAATGTTATCTATTATTTACATTTCAAGACATTGAGATCAGAACAAAATGGAGATCCGTAGTTTCAGCAAAGAAAAACACAAAATCGTTATGGGAAGGTAATAAGTGAGAAAATCAGGGTAAAGTCCAATTTTCTTTTTCCCCTTGAAAGATCAAGTCTTCCTATTCCATTTATTTAAAGTATAAACAACTTTAGCCCTTATTTCAGTGGCTTTGGTGTAATGCTTTAGAAAGTCTTCATGTTGTTCTAGCTGCTTTCTTTTTATTTCCAGACAACGGGGAAAAAAGGGGGGGGAAGACTCCGTTTCTTTTCACCAAGATTCAGTGTCAAAGTCAACTAGTTTTTCTCCAGTTTTATATTTTATATTCCACAAAATACAGTCTTAGAGAAGAACTTTCTCTTTATTTTCTTTGCCCAAGAGGCTATTTGAGAACTTGTTTTGAATTCTCTTCGTAGCTGCCAGAAAAGAAGGAGGGGGGCAGGAAGTGAATTCTTTACCCCTCCATTCAATTGTCTTTTTAAACTTTAAAGTGGCTTTAACAATGGGTAGTAGATTTTCTGATATTGTTGCTTTAAGATGTACTCATGGTGTTATACTTCATCAGTGTTATGGATGGGGTCCCAGCTTCTCCCCCCTCGGTCGGGGAAGTCACGACTACGCACAGCCATGTCTGCATGGGCACACTCAGCCAGCTCTTGTGTCAGGGCACATTCAGATCTCCGCCCACTTGCCCCTTGCAATGAGCTCCTCTACGGGGAACTCATTGGAGTTTGGGAGCCCTCGAACCCCTCTAAGGAAGCCGGCAATCCGGTCAACACTCGGGAGAGCTTCCCGGTGCGACCCTTCTCATCGCACCAAAACCCCGCCTCCCCATTAGAGGTAAATTTCTAGGCTGCAATCTGACAGTCCCAGATGAGGCAGCATGGAGAGGGCAAACAGACAGGGCTCTAGTCGGGGGGGAGCTCTCAGGTACGGAGCTCCGGAAGAGAACCTCTAGGGGGCGGGGCAGTCATGTGGTGAAGCCCCGCCCCCTTCTTTACCCCGGAATGAGGATGAAGCAGGAGGGTAAGTAGCCGGGCCTTCTGACACACTTCCGGTGATGTCAGGGGGTGTGGCCTTCTGTCACTTCCGGTGATGTCAGGGGGCGTGGCATATGCAAATAAGTTATGCTAATGAGTTATGCTAATGAGCTCCGGCAGCTCTTTTTCTACAACAAGACCCCTGCAAACAGACAAGGCAGGTACTTTAAGCAGAAGCTGAGGGAGAGAGAAAGCACAATCGTGGCATAGGAAACAACAAGTTTAGGAAAGACCAGCATCATAGAAGAAAACAAAGACATCGCTTTATGTTGTACACACACAATGCTTTCCAGATAATTTCCCAGGACCTGTTAGGTAAACAGATGATAGCAGTGGTCAGGGGAGTCTTTCACCAGTTTTGGCAGGTGAGCCAGCTGCAGTCGTTCCTAGCCAGGAAAGATCATGCCACTGTGGTGCATGTCCTCATAACATCTAGGTTAGATTACCAAGATGTGTTCAATGCAGGGCTGTCCTTGAAGACTGTCTAGAAGCTTCAGCTGGTATAGAATACTGTGGCCAGAATGCTGACTGGAGTGGGTCATAGGCACCATATCTCTCCAGTCTTGTTCCATCAGCACTGGTTCCCAATTTGCTTCTGGGCTAATCCAAAATTCTGGTATTGACCTTTAAGGCCCTATATGGCATCTCTGAAGGACAACCTACTCTCATATGAATCTGTCAATCTACTCCAGTCTTCTCTGGAGGCCCTCCAGATGCCTCCACCATCAGAGGCTACATGGGTGGCAATCCGAGAAAGGGCCTTTTCAGTCAAGGAATATTTTAAATATAAATAAATAAAAATAATTTGAGCCCTGCAACAGCAGCAACACACATTTATACCAATATGTAAACACTAACAGAGGATAGGGGCAGGGTAGTGTTACGGGTTTAATGAAGAAGATATGAATTGGATTTCAGATCCTTCTTACCTCACAAGGTCAATAGGCTGGTACTTGTAAAAAACTCCATAGCTTGCCCATTCTTCACACAAGAGCTGTAAAACAAAGTTAAAATGAAATAGAAAAGTGCATGGAAGCAGTTCCTTCTTTCCCTCAACCATAGAGTTCACACTGTGCTCTGGTGTCACTATCTTGTGGTTTTCTGTTCTTTAATCTATCAATATATTTGCATTACGTCCTGAGCAGCAAGGGGCTGTGGCTCAGTGGTAGAGCATCTGGTCCCATGTTCAATCCTTTATTGGTTAAAAGGACCAGATAGTAGATGATGTGAATGATCACAGCATGAGACCTTGGACATACACTGCTTGTCTGAGCAGACGATACTGACTTTGATGGAGCAATGCTCTGATTCAGTATAAGGCAGTTTCATGTGATCTTGCCATCCAGTCATTGTGTTTGTGTGTGTTAAGTGCTGTCAAGTCACTTCCTACTTATGGTGACCCTATGAATTAATGAGTTTCAGAACGTCCGATCATTAACAGCCTTGCTCAGGTCTTGCAAACTGAGGGCTGCAGCTTCCTTGATTGAGTCAATCCATGTCATGTTACATCTTCCTCTTTTCCTGCTGCCATCAACTTTCCCAAGCATTACTGTCTTTTCCAGTGACTCTTTGTATTTGCAGTACACCAAAGCCCTTAGTGTGTATCTACATGGGTACAAATTTGTTGATTAGGTTTATACAGGCTGTATCCTTTGTTGAAGAGGAATCTAAAATTTCCTGCATTCTCATTATTAAAACATTTATCAAATCAAATAATGTGAAATTAATTACTGAGCATAATAGATTAATTATAATACTGATTTGTAACTTCTGGATCTGAATTATAATACTCAATCATAACTTTTTTCTGACACAGAATCCTTCTTTTTGTGACCTAATTTTTAAAATTTATTTTATTTTTATTACCATTTTTGTCAACAAACAAAACTGAACAAAATATAAAAAAGCAATAGTGTCATAGATCAGTCCAGAATCAGAACCCTTCTTAAGAGTAGGTCTTTAGAAACATCTGACTGCTTGTTTGTTTATTCATTCATTTATTTTCTTTTATTTATATCCTGCCTTCCTCACAAGCAGGGTCAGGGCAGGTTACAAGGTCACATAAAAATCATGACAATAACAGTATCAAATTCAAATGACACGTAAAAATTCAGACGGTTAAAATTTAGTACCAGAAGTAAAAGTAGCCTTGGTAGCGACACCTGGATAGAGCCTTCTAAATGGTGTTGTCAGACATCAAGCCACTGACCACAAGGCCAGGGCTGTCCAGAGGGGAGGCCAAAAAATGGCCCTTGTTTTGCAGTTTGAACCAAGTTAGTATATGCTCAAGTTAGTATATGGGAAATCTTACTGGATGTAAGAGATGTTCCACCAGGTCTGTTTTGTAAATATCCTCCATATCTGCACAAGTGGACTGTGGATGAATGAACTACTGCCTTTTATTTCCAACTCCCACATGACAGATAATACTCTGACATCAGATAATACTCTGACCAAGTTCAGGTTTATTCCTCAGAAACAGAAATGTTCTTTTGGATGCAGCAGGACATGTTCCTGTCTTTACTTTAGGAATTAGAGTAATGGCACATTTGAGCTTTCAACTCTTAAATCAGTACACTGAGCATGAACTCCAAAATATATTTTAAGGTCACAAAGCTCTTCTGGATTTACACCACTGTTGCTAAAATCAGATATAATTCCTTTGCCTGGAACAATGTGCAACTTTTCTCAGGGGAGGGTAACAACAAATATGGTTTATTAATAAAAAATACATCTGTCCCTAACACTGGATACTAAACACAATTTAGCTGTCATTTATTATGAATATACAAAATTATTTTAAAAGGTTGAGAAGTCCTAAACCTACATGACTAAAATTCTGTCATGCTCTTAAGTGATAGATCTTCAACTTAGTTAAAAGTTTATTTGTACCTTTGCTAAAGTCAGGGTAACAACAAGTTGACTGCAGGGCTAATCTTCACTGCAAATAAGGCTTACACAGAGTAGAACGTCCTACTCCAAAATGGAATTATTCAAATCCTTTATTTATTTATTTATTTATTTATTTCAACTTACTACCCCGCTCGAACCCCCTAAGGGGTCTCTGAGCGGCTACCCCCTTGATCTTCATGTTTACCATGTAAATAAACAATATTGAAAACTGATCTAGATTTCTGGTTGCAGGAAAAAAACTTTGTATGTTCACCAGGGCAATTTTGTTCCTGTTGCCTGCCAGAAAATAGCTGCACATCAGGCCTATACTTCGACTTTTATATCACCTTCATAGATCGACTTCATAGATCACCTGTGCCACAAATAAGCCCCCCAAGTTGGTTTTTCATCCTCTGAGGCCAGAGGACCCTGATTTGAATTAAGACTGCAGCACGAGGGAAGGGGATTGTTCCCTAGCATAATATTTCTGCCCTGAAATATCCTTGCACAACTGCTGTTTTCCCTGTTGGGATATTTAACATTTAGTTTGTTTGTTTACATTATTTATAGTCCGCCTTTCTTACTAGGACTGGAGACAGATTACACAGAGTGAGTCAATACAATCAACAAGATGGGACACTTAATAAACTGTGAAATTGGATTTGAGTTGTAGAACCAATCAGAAGACTAAACGGGGGAGAGGGCAAACATTAGGGTTGCCAACCTCAAGGTGGTTGGCTGGAGATCTCCTGCTATTACAACTGATCTCTAGGCAACAGAGATCAATTTACCTGGAGAAAATGGCAGCATTGAAAGTTGAACTTAATGGCATCGTACCCCAAACCTTGCTTTCCTCAGGCTCCACCCCCAAAATCTCCAGGTATTTCCCAACCTGGAGCTGGCAACCCTAGTAAATCTACAGGTTCTCATCATTCCCAGTGGGACAAACTGCAACTCTGTGAGGCCATCTCAGATTGGAATAATGGTGCAGAGGAAAGACTCCTCCAGTGCCACAATCGCAGTCTGTATTGGGGTCCCAGGTGCTTGCTTTTTCAAAGCAAAATAGGTTTTGGAGCGCATTCACAGAACTCCCAGTGTTACATCTAAGGGTACAGAAGGAGAGAAGCCTTCCTTTGTTGTTAAGGTGTTACTTTTCTTTTGCCTAAAAACAGTAAAGACCAGCAACAAGGGAAGGATCTAGAATGCCTCTAGTGTTTCCCATCAATTCATGGATGAAATAACTTTATTCTTGTGATTTAATAGACTGCTCTGGAATCAGCATAAGAACTGCAGACTTAGGGCCAAACTAGATGTCACAGCATCCACAGGTCTGATCTGGAGATGTCAATGCTATTTTAGAGAAGAACTTGGCTGTTTAAAAATGCCATGACTGGACCCATGACACAGTGGGACCAAGCAATCTTGTTTTTCCCCTGCATGCCTTTGCAAGTGCCAAAACAGTTGTTGGGGGCTGTTTTGGCATTTGAAAAGGTGCTGGGGGAGGGAAACAAGACTGCCTGGTTCCACTTCACTGTGGCCATGCAGCCTTTTTAAATGGCCAAATTCTTCTCTAAAATGGCATCAGCATTCACAGTCAGAACCATGGATATCATAACATCTGGTTTGGCCCCCATAGCCTGCTAAAAGTGCCTGGGGTTACTGTGGTGTCTCCATCACGCACAGAAGCAACTTGCCCTAAGGACTTAGCTGATGCTGGTGGTACAGTCCCCCTCCTTTCTAAGCTGCTAAAAATGCTGCCTGATCACTTGGCATCCTTAACAAACGGTGGTTGAGCTTTCTTAACAAATGTCACGCACCAATACTGTATTTTCTGTTAGAGAGAATACATTTAAAAACAACATTTCTAAATGGCACTGAGTGCCTCTCTGTAAGTCTGGACAAACGTCCACCTCCCAAGAAGTGACTCGTGAAGCTGACACTCTTGAGAATGTGCTGAGACCCCATATCAACTTACTTTTCTGTCATTAGCCTCAATATGTTCACCTTCATAGTCACCCTTTAAAAAAAGAAAATTGGAGTCATTTGAACAGGTCACAACCAAAGCTGTCATGCATTTTGTATGTTACATATCTCTTTTGCATATCTAGGCCAGAAAGTGTTCTGAAAGCAACAGAAAGTGTTCAGAAAGCAACAACCATCACCCCAGATGTTCAAGCAAAGGAAGAATCTGGCTTTTCAGACTGCACAGCAATTATGGGTAGAATCAGGGGTCATTTCCTGCGGGAGCGCACAGGAGCTCCAGCAGTAAGGAGCCCAGGGGGCGGGCACATGCAACAAGCCCCACCCCCTGCTCCCAGCAGCCCTCAGTTGGGCCATGAGGAGCAAGAAGCAGCCAGGTAAGTTGCACCCCCCCCCCCCCAGCCCGCCTTCAGGTACAAGTTCTCCCCCCTCTGTGAGGGCAGATCTGCACGTCCCCCCCCGCCAATAGCTAGCAATACAAAACAGTCCAGTGGAGCCTGAGCAGTGGGTGTTGCCTTCTGACTCACTTCCAGTGATGTCAGGGGGTGGCATATGCAAATAAGTTATGCTAATAAGTTATTCTAATGAGCTCCTGCACCTCTTTTTCTACAAAATGATCCCTGGGTAGAATCAAGATTCCCCCCACCCCTACTTTTCCCTATGTGTTGATCTATGTGGGGTAGAAATGTGAAAAATAAATAAATAATAGGGATGGGCTAATGACAGGCAAGAGACTGCAGTGGTGTTCATCACCAGCTTGGTGTTTGTAGGCAACAGCTATTTCATCAGTTCATGCATCCAGTGAAGTAGGCTTCTGCTTATGAAAGCTGGTGCTGCAATAATTCCTTTCATTTTAAGGTGATACAAGTCTCTTTGGCTTGGTTTGCAAAAGCACAAAAGAGCTCACAGGCAATGACTGTTGCAGTCAAAGGCAATATTTCCAGATTATTTCCACATTAATTAGAAAAATTACCTAACAACGTGAAATATATTGAATACAATGGTGGATAATCTAAACTAGGGGTCATATGCAGGCCAAATTACATATGTCTGACCATGAGTTGGGTTGGGGGAAATTGGCTGCATGTGAGGTACTCAGTGCATGTCCAGTTCTACAACCGGGCAAATAAACACATTTCCTTACAAGCAGGTCCACTGATTTAAGAGCATCTACTTTGACACTTTACAACCTAGACCCAATTCCTATTTTATTGGAATATTATGGAAACATTTTCCATGCTGGTTTAGTAGCGCCTCTAATTAAATACAATACTGATTTACTAATTCAATATGTCATTGAAAAAACACATCGCAAATAGAAAAAATATTTTATTACTTTTTTTTTTTTACTCAAAAGTACGTTAATTTGTGATTTTCCTAAATATAAAATGATCTACACCCTTTGGGCAATTCATTATGTATGTTCTGAACAAGCTGGCCATCCTTGCATAAACATTAATATGATTTCAGAGTATGCACAATCAGAACACATAACTAGTCCACTTCTCCAACAGAAACTGACCATACTGATATGCATTACATTAGTTAGGAGGATGTCAAGGGGATTTAAATCAGGAAGCTCACTACATGGTGCCAGAGAACTAAATATGTTTCCTAATAGCCTCACTGTCCTTAATAACAGAAGGTCAAAAGCACAATCATCTGCTGAGTCATTTTTTACAACTCTATGTAAAACAAAAGGAAGTTATTGTGTGTGTTAGGGCACCAGTTAAACGTTGGCAGACATATTCTTAAAGAAACTGCTAAAAAGTAATGTAAAAACAGAGCAGAAAACTGGGCTCATGGACAGCCAAAGACATTTAAGACTGTGCCATCGATACCTAACACATTAAGGGTTCCTGGTATCAGCAAGCAGAAACATAAAAATATATTCTAAAACCACTTACATCATGCAACGGATATGCAGCACTGTAAACACCATTGGCAAGCAGACTGGTGATCCCTGGAACAACAACAGAGGGTGTCTATTTATGCTTCCAAGTTTGAATTCCCTCAACTTTCCAAATTCTGGAGATTTCTCCCTCAAAACATCAGTAATTTTGTTAGATAATGAATCTTTTACTAGTTCATTTGTCTCCATGCTGTTTGAAAAAATTATTAAACATGGTTCATTTTAAGAAACAGAAAGCTACGGAGAATCAGAAGAAGTCATATATTTCAGAGTCCAATGACTCAAAATTAGTCATTATAATAAATTAAATACCCTGAAGGTTCAAACTGGATTTTCAAAGCAAGCTCACAGATTTGGAAGTATAGCAAAAGGCAAGTTTGTAAGAAGAGAGTTCAGCTGGGCCTGATGGGTAGGTGAATACCCATGTGCACACACTCATTCAGGCAAAGATTTTTAAAAATCTGATTTAAGCTTGATTAGAGAAGCTATCTGGAAAGCCTTTGGAAAGACCTTGGCATAATACTTACCATATTTATCACATTTTCGTCTTTTATTTAAAAGGGTAGTTTCCTTCTTTCTTCCCTCTCCTTTCCCTGTTTATACATTTGTCTATTAGTTATACGATTGAGCTTGAAGCAGTTACAATGCTTGAGTAACAGGGACTCTGAGGTAGTGTATATACTTTTTTTTTTTTACTGGAAAATGTTTGATTTTGGAGTAGAATGAGATGGTGTGTAATAGAAGATGTTGTAAGTGTAGCTGGGATTTTGCAATAGGTGAAGAATGTGCTTAGAATTCCAGTGACTGCTTAGTTGCAAACTCTTAGAGGATACAGTATTTAATTTCTAGATGTGTTCTGCTTTACAGCTGCTGGCATTAATATAGTTACTTCCAAATATGGGGCATCTGACAGACTTTGGACATGTGTTCCTTGGTAACTTGATGCTTTCAATATTCTGATACCCTGTCTTTAATGCTGGCTTCTATCTAGTAAATTTTATATTCATATATGAAAAACTGATGTAGCTAGCTGCATAATAAGAGAATTGGACGAGTGTAATAAAACAAACTTTGAGGTATGTTATGGTGTACTTTTCAGTGGAAGAAATGTTTTCAATTTACCTGATAAACTCATCAAAATACTGAATCCAATTTTCCCCTTCAAATTATCTTTCTACCATATTTTTATTTCACTTTCCCACCTAGGAGCTCAAGGTGGTGTACAGTTTCCTCTTCTCTTCCATTTAATTGTTACAATAACCCCACATGGTAGTTTAGGCTGAGAGAAAGTGAGTGGCCCAACACAGTTGAATGTGGGATTGAATCTGGGTCTTTTTGCTGACATTCTACCAGTACATCACACTGGCTCTCTATTTAATAATTTATACCATATAATAATATCCCTACACTACACTGGTATCACTATATCTAATAATCAACCTGTCCCCATCTGTGGATGCTTAAATCTGCAGATCAGGGCCAGGTGGAAAGAAAGACTCTCCAGGTCTGCAGAAAAATCTCAGAACTTTATAAAACATTACCGGGGGGGAGGGTTTATAAAACCCCCAAACAAAGGAGCATGTTGTCTGCGCAAACTGAGACAATATAAACTTATTGGAGATGGGGATGAGGAGCCACCCACCCTAATGCCTCTCACTCTTCCTTTACTTTGGAGAATAGTAGGCCAGGAGGACCAGCAAGAGACACTACCATGGAAGAGTTGGTCATGCTGCAGCCAGGTGAGAAAGAGCAGGAGCCACAGCCACCCTCTCTTCAGCCAGCCAGGTAGATGGGTGGGGGAGTGAATACAGGGTTATTGCCCTCTCCACCGCCAAACAGCAGGGAGACAGATAGATGGATCGGTGGGCTCGCTGCTACTGCTTTCCCAATTTGCCTCAGTGTAAGCCACCCACCCATTGACCCCCAGTGGTGGAAAGGTGCAATGTAATCAGTAAGGAAAGAGCTGCTGCTGATACCCCACCATTTCCTAAGCCACACAGACAGGAAGGTTGGGGGGAGTAAGAATCCACACTCCCCCTCCAAAGTGGTGCAGCAGCAGTTGGCCAGGGGGCAGAGACCAGGAGTTACCACTGCCACCAACTCACTGGCACATGGAGGGGAGAAGGATGAATGGGCAGAAAGGAGGAGGAGTGAGAGACAATGCTACTGTCCCCATTACAGCCACTGTTTAAGCTGTGGAGGGGTGGCAATGCAGCTAGGGAGAAAGGAGCTGCTAATATTGCCCCTTTGCTGGGTGCTGGTGGGTGGATGAGCCAGTTGGTGGGCAGATAAATGAAGGGATAGAGAAGCAGCAATGGTAGCATTACCAATGGGTGGACTGCCCAGCATCTGGTTTGCTCAGCAGGCAAACAAGAGGATTGAAACCCTTCTGTGAGTCCTGTGGGTCTCCACTTATCAATATTTGTAATTCTCAATGTGGTGAATTCTGTGGATACTTGAATCAGGAGACTGGTGCCAGGGACAGACAGGTCAGATCTTTCTTAAAACCTGAGTACAGCCCCAGGTTTGCAGGAAAAAAATCTGAAATCTTAAAAAAAATTAAACAGGAGTGTGCAGTACAAAATGTGAAATGACAGAAGCATTGCCTGTAGCTTTAAGAAACAAATGCCCTCTGTGGCCATTGCTAGGAAACCACAATTGTACTTCCAGCCTCCAAGCCTTGGTTTCTGTCAGTAAAAGGCAGGGGGAGGCGGCAATGTCCTTTCTAGGGCTGTTTTGGCCTTTCATTGGCCAGTGCCGGCAGTAACTACCAAATAACTTGGTACCATGCAACTTGTGTGATTTACCCAGGCCTGGCTCTTTATTACAGTTCAACAGCAGCCACCCCACAAAAGCCACTGTGGTGTAGTAGCTAGAGCTTCAGACTAGGAGACCCTGGTTTGAATCAGCAGTCTGCCATGGAAGCTCACTAGGTGACCTTGGGCTCAGCATAACCTACCTCACAGGTCAGTTGTAAAGATAAAATGGAGAATAAGAAAATTATGCAAGCTGCTTTGGATACCTGTTGCAGAGAGAAGGGGGAAAGCTGAAGGCAAGGGGGCAGATAAAGGTAGGTTGGCTGGTGTTCTGAAGGAGAGAAAAGGCATGAAAAAGAAAATAGGTAGTGAGGCTTTCAGGAATGCAAAAGAAGAAATAGCGGGAGGAGAAAATTAGATGCCCCCTGCAAATCCTTGTGGGTCCACCACTTGTCAATATAGCTCAACAGGATCCCATCTACAGATTCCTATATCTGGAGACTTGGGCATGGACAGACAAGACAGATTTTCCTACAAACCTTAGAAAAAAGCCCAGCTTTGCAGAAAACTCTGAATTCTAATTAAAAAAAATATTGGGAGTTAGAATCTCCCAAGACAATACAAACAGCACTTGTAGCCTTAAGAAACAAATGCCCTGAGTAGCCATTGCTGGGCAACCAGAACAGCACTGCCAGTGTTCCAGACCTGGTTGCCTTAAATAAAAGGCAAGGGGAGAGGCAGAGCCCTTTCCAGGGCTGTTTTGGCCTTTGCAGGAGATTCATGGGGTCAGACCCACGTGCAACCACCAGACAACTTAATATCACATGATTTGCCTGACTCACCCAAGCCTAGCTGCTGGCTTTTGTTCAACAGCAGCTACCCCATGAAAGCCAGTGTGAATACTGCTTAGAGGACTGGACTAGGATCTGGGAGACACAGATTCAAATCCCCACTCTGCCATGGCAGCTGACTTGGGTGACTTTGGGCCACTTATGCATTCTCTACCTCACAGGGTAGTAGAGAGGATCAAATGGAAGAGAAAAGAATGATGTAAGTTGCTTTGGGTCCCCAATGTGGAGAAAGGCAAGGTATAAATGAAGTAAATACATAATAAATATAGCTGAAGATGCGGGACAGAAAAAAGCTGTATGAGTGTATGGGAAGGATTCCTGGGTTGGACCTAGGGACAGCTGCCAGGGGGAGTGATGGAAGGAAAGCTGAAGACAGGGAGGCAGACAAAGGTAGGTTGGCTGGTGGATGGGAAGGAGAGAAGGAAGCAGGAAACAGGAAGAGGCCTTGGGAGCTTGAACCCCACAAGTATTTACAGGTATCCCAGTTGTTATTTATATTGGATGCAGAATATCCTCAGACTATGATAGCTATTTGTTGCTGTGGTAACATACACACTGAGTCAGTCCCACTATATATTGTTGCTGAAGTTTCTGCAACACATTCTAAGCATTCACACTCAAGAGAAAAGCTTTGTCTGTTGAAACAAGCTCTCAGAAAATTGGGTAACTAAGGGAACAATCAAAACAGGTCCACTGAGAAGTAAGTGCCATCTTACCAGGGCTTATTTCCAGAACATTGCACCTGAAGACCCTGAACCTAAAAACATTTACTTGGAAGATCCAAGCATAGAACTTGCTTTCCAATCAGTGAACATTCAACAAATGTTGCAGTGAATTTATGGTATGGTATGGTATGGTATGGTATGGTATGGTATGGTATGGTATGGTATGGTATGGTATGGTATGGTATGGTATGGTATGGCATGAAGAGCATTCACACACATGAGCAAGTTTACTGCAATAGTGAAGTAGCAACTTAGTTAAGGTCCCTTGCTAGGTAAGTCTGTTCACAGTGTTGAAGATGTTGTGAGTCACTACTTGGTCACAAAAAAATAACAGTTTCATTGCTTCAAAGTTGCCGGCACACAATTATCTTATATGGGCCTAGTTGAACAACAAAAGCCTCATGCTATAAATGCCACATATCACTAGGCTTACCAAATTCCGGCGGGGGAATTGTATTTCCTGGCAGGAGCCTCGCCGCGGGGATGGCTGCACGCGCTGCAACCGCCGTCGCCAGGATGTGACGCTCCGCATCGCTCTGGCAATGGGACTCCAAACAGCCCCGTTGCCAGAGCGACGGGAGCGTCACATCCTGGCGACGGCGGGTGCAGTGCGTGCAGCCGTCCCCGCGGCGAGGCTCCTGCCAGGAAATACAATTCCCCCGCCGGAATTTGGTAAGCCTACATATCACCCCATAAATTGTCAATGCCTTAAGAGACTGAACCATGCTATACAGAAAGCAATATCAGTGCTGCAACACTATACATTATAAATAATATGCAAACCACTTACAGATAGCAACTAACTCACTAACAAACTCTGGTAACATTAAAAGGCTGCAACTACAAAGCCACATCTTGGAAATAGATTTGTCAACTGCTAGGGGTAATCCAGACATTATGGCTATGTGCCATTTTGGCAACTTGGCACTATAGGAGAAACTATAGCCACTTCCAGACTTCCTAATAGTAACGGTAGTGAAAAGGTGACTCCCTTATACGACAAAAGAACCAAACAACCAGGAAGCCCTTCATTAAGGACGCCACCTCCCTTCAGATTTAATCCAGATCTGAATCAGAAACACATTTTGAAACAATTTAAACCCTGTAGAAAGAAAAATATCCTGGAACTTGATTTTTTGAGATTTTGGTTTTCCAAAGTTATCACTATGCAATGCATAGAGTTTTGCACAGTATTGACAGAAATATCACAGTCCGAAGTTTCTTGTATGCTAGGTACAATTTATTATGTATCTTAAAACATGTGCTTCTGGTTATTTTCTGCTACAAGTTTTTTTTAACATTCAATTTAAAAAGCCTCTGTATCGCAGAAAACCTCAGATTTTGATATGTTCAACAGAGAGTTTCCAGCAATTCCTAGAGAAGACTGATGTCACTTTTGTTTTTCCCCTAGAAGTGAAATCACATCGCTCAATCTATCTATCATTATTTGGAGGATGGTTAGCCAGTCTTTGTGCCAATATTTGCACATGCATAGCAGTCTGAAGAACACGGGTCCTCAACCTTTTTGAGTCTGTGGGCACCTTTGGAATTCTGACAGAGGGCAGTAGGCACAAGATGGCTGCTGCAAGAGGCAGAGCCAGCCACAAAATGGCTGCCATAGCTTACCTTCAGTCACATCATGACGATCCTTGTACTATGATGGCAGCTGCAGCCAATCAAATCTCCAATGGCCACTCAGAAGTCTTGCGTGGCAAAAGCCCCACTGAGCCCTACTCAGTTTCTAAAAATACTTGGTGGGTGCCAGGAAAGGTGTCAGTGAGTGCCATGGCTCCCACAAGCACCAGGCTGGGCACTCCTGCTGTAAAATAATATCCCCATCTATACCTGACCCCATTTTCTGTGTTTTTTGATCCGTATGGGAGTTAGATTCAGAATAAGACATAATGTTGATCTGAAACCTAAATAACTGTCCTTACCCATGCTGTACTTGGCTTTGGTGCAGGTAGTTCTTTTCAGTATTTCGTAAACCTGTAGGAAAAAAAAGTTTCTTAAGCGGTTCTAATGAAGAATAACATTTACACTTTGTGTAATACAAACAAAAGCATCAGTACATTTAAGCTTTTGAGTGTTACTATTACATCACCACCATTCTGTATGAAAGGCAGTATTTGGGAATAAAAGACAAGAACTAGTAAACAAATGAACATTAGTCTGCAATGTCTGTGTGAACCACCCATTGCCAATTCAACACTTGAAACTGAGTTTACACAGCACTGCCAGACTGATTCACAAATGCCTACCTGGAACAGACCGTCCACCTGTAACTTTCCAATCACTGATTGGGAACTTGCCCAGGACTAAAGATGTGAGGGCTGAGGAAAAAAATTGGGGTTCCCCCCCCCCCAGATTTCACCTTCTTCCCCCCCCCAAGGCCTCCCCCCCAAAAAAAAATTCCAATGGAAAAAAACTGAAAAGTTGGGGGAACACTGAAAAGAAATTGCTATGAAATATTTTCTCTTTTCCTTCCTCACTTGAAGGATTGGAACAAAACATCGGAACCAAGTCAGTGTAAAATATTATAAATATTAAATATTTTCAAGACAAAGGAATTAGTAGCTTTGCTGACAATGTTTAGTACTCTAGTACCAATGCTCAGCTGCTTTTTCTCTGAGGCTAATGCCATATTTTCAGGAATACCTTTTATAATATAAACTATCTCATGAATTAAGATAACTACGTCATTACTTTGGCTGCTGTCATTATCCAAGATTAGATTGGTTGGTACCAAGAAGTATCATGTGTTGTAGAATTCTCTCCAGCAGGAGACTATCAGGCCTATTCTACTGAGGGCTGAACTAGATGTGATGCTGTCCCTAGGTCCAACCCAGGGATGCTGCCATTTTTAACTCCCAATGCTGGAAATTTAAAAATCCTGATTGGGCCTGCAGCACCGAGGGACCAGGCACTATTACCCCCCTGTGCCTTTTCACAGCCCCCTGCCATTACATCTAGTTTGGCCCCAATAGTGTAGAATATCCGGTGAATGCCCATTTTGATGGTTCCATTTTGATGGTGTGCTTTCATTCCTCCTGCTAGGATAGATGATAATTAAAAATACCTTCTTCATACTCTTAATTTGCTGGTGTGCACACAGATATATTACAAACCAGATATATTACAAGCTAAACTTTTTGAAATAGGACCCATTGCTAAAATTATTGTAATCTTCAAGACCCACTTCTAAGGACTTCTGGTCTATGGCGACACGCAGGCAGACGCATCTCCCGGACGTCCCAGGGATGCAAACTGCACGCCAGCGTGTAGGAGGGGGTGCGACAGGTCGCGACCCCCCTGGAGCCTTGGTAAAAGGCTCCTAGCCAGGGGGCTTTTGAGGGGCGACCTCTTCAATGGTGCGATGGCGGAGAATTGAGGTGCTCCTCCACCCCAAAGGTCCAGCCGCTGAGTGACTGTATGGTACGAGTGCTGCTGACCGGGACAAGTGCTGGAGATCGGGCGGAAAAGAAACCGATGCCGAGCTAGGCTGGTTGGCCAACAACGAACTGTGAGTTGGGTTGAAGCGAACATGAAGATTTAAAAAGAAAGCTGCCCCACTTAAAGAGCGACGGGAAGTGAGTGGGGGAGGGACCCCTCCCAAACGCATAAACAAAAACACGGAATAAAGAGGGGGGAGCGGAAAAATAAGCGTTTGAAACTGTTTTCAGAGACTTACCAGAGCGCAAATAAGCATTTGGGCGAATATCAGAGACTTTAGCAACTGTACGATAAGTAAACAAATCCAAAAAGATGGCGGGGAAGAAACCGGAGAAAGAAAAACTTTTGAAACCGAAACTAGTGGGTAGTCCTTGAATGGAAGAGACCACTGAGCTTTCAAAAATGTTGGCAGATTCCTTGCACCCTCTGCTGGATGAGATGACTAATATCAAGCAACAACGGTCAATAATTGGCCAAAGCTTGGCTTCACAGCAGTTACAATTGACTCAGTCCTTAAAAGCAATGGAGCAAATGGGGGAGAAGGTGAAGGAAATGGACGCCAATACTAAAACAGTTAAGAAAAAGGTGCAAAAGCTGGAAATGAAGCAAGCCATGGAAGAGACAAAAGTTTTGCAGCTGCAAATGGAGAAAGCTAATTTGGTCCTACGTTTTCAAGGGGTCCTGGAAATTAAAGGAGAGAATTTGAAGCAACGGCTGAGTGAAGCAATAGCCCCATGACAGATTTGACAGAGGAATGTCTTTACAGTGAGATGGATGTGGTCTGTAGGTCTTATTCCTCATACATCAAGAAAAATAATCTGCCTGGGGAAATAGTAGTCAGATTCTTGAAGAGTCATGTGAGAGACTCTATTTTGAAAGCAACTACGGGAACTCCCTCTAAGATTGGGGACAACAACATCAGGATTTTAAAAGACATTCCATTTGATATAAGACAGAAGAGAAAGAATTATAAAGAACTAATCATATTTCTACAAACAAATGGCATCAGTTACAGATGGTTAATCCCAGAAGGCATCATTTTCAAACTTCATAATAAAAAAGAAAAGATTGACTCTGTTCTTAAGGCACGTGATTTTCTGCAAACACAGCTTGGGGAACCAGCTGAGGACGAGAAGGAAGAAGAAGAAAATCTGATGGCAAGTTAGGGTCGGGGTCTTTGGACGAGGACTCACCCTCTGAAAAGGGGGCAGCTGCCCCCAAAAGTTCATATAAATTGAGGATTAGAAAAGAGAAGAATAGTGGCTGAAGGACTCTGATTTGTGCCTGAAAACTCTGAAATGATTTTGGGATGCTCAAGGGGTTTCTTTAAGCAGTTAAATGAATAGTTAAAAGATAATTAACCTAGCATAACCAACTGTGTTCATTGTTTTATTAGCTTTTTAAAAATAACATTGAGTTAAGCTGATGTAATGATCTCCTACTCTTGGGTTTTTAGTTATTAGTGGGTCTTTTTTCTTTCTCCTTAGATGAAGTTCCCCTTCCCATATTTTCAGTTGTAGTTTGTAGTTCATAAAAAACCAATAAAAAATTCCCCTATGGGGGATCCAAAAAAAGAAAAAAAGACCCACTTCTAAACTTACTGTAGTTTACACGACCTACTTGTAAAGCGACTGCATGCTTCTTTCCCCATATAAGAAATAGGAACATCTTAACACTTAACACTGAATAAGTTAATTCCCATATTTTCAGTTGTAGTTTGTAGTTCATAAAAAACCAATAAAAAATTCCCCTATGGGGGATCCAAAAAAAGAAAAAAAGACCCACTTCTAAACTTACTGTAGTTTACACGACCTACTTGTAAAGCGACTGCATGCTTCTTTCCCCATATAAGAAATAGGAACATCTTAACACTTAACACTGAATAAGTTAATATATTTACTGTTTATGTTTCATGCTTATAAATATATAGTATTACTGATAAAAGGGCTGTATTTTCTTGGCCACTGCACACGCTATGCAGAGGGCTGATAAAAGGGCTGTATTTTCTTGGCCACATTTGTGATTTAATGTGGCCAAATCCACATTTGTGATTTAACTTCACAGAGCCATCTCCTCAGTTCACCCTGTTCCTCCTCGTCCTCCTCCCTTTTGGCCTTCCAACTCACCTGTGTGAAAGTTGTGACCCACTCTTGCATCCCGATCTACAGTTTGAGAAGCACTGTTGTAAGGTAACAATATACAAGCTAATATTCAAGAAGAATAGTGGAATAGGAAAGGAAAGTTCTCCATGATAATGAAAGAAAAAAATCTTCATGTTTATGATTTTATACTATAGAGGCACCAAAGCTTGAATGCATTTGTGTAAGCTCATTTTGCCAAACCTAAGATGTGTACAGAGGCAAATAGTTATCAGTGTCTGCTATAAACATCTGCCTGCAACAAGCAGCAGCAGTACAAATGGAATAAAAGGAGACCATGCTATGGTCCACTGGCCTGCCCTATGAGATGCATTATTCACCCATAAATTTCTGGTTCCTTGTCTTATGAAGTGAAGGGTCAAGCCAATTAAAAAATTCCCAAGCCATATGTTTTCTTTCATCTCTAAAGAGCCCCAATGTGACAAATTCATTACCTCCATGTCTAGGTATACATTTAGAATCAGATTGGAGCCTTCCTCTAATTATGCTTAACATTTTTGTTTGGTTTTAACATGTATAACTTAGCTTTGTGTCTATATTTGTTTTTCAAATGGGAGCTTTTTATCCAAAAATAGAAGTTCTATAATTAGTATATTAAGGTTGTATTTTCAACCCATTGAAACAAACTATGAAGAGCAATACTTGCTATCTTCTCTTTTCTTTCTATTTTGCAAAAGAAACCCTCAAAGAAAAAAAAAGCCTGCCACTAAATATGAGGACATAAACACTAAAGTGTGTTTTGAAAAGAATATGCATGAGAAATATTTTATAGATTTTAATATTTTTTAAAATGAAGACGTGGAGAAAAAGCAAAGAAAGTAAAATGCTTTTCTGTGAGTCTTTGGAAGCAGGCATTTCAATGATAACTTGTTGTATATTTATTTAGAAATAGGAAGTCAGAAGTACACCCCTGGAATAAATTTTGACAGGGAAATAATTATAATTTATTTATTTAATAAGAATTAATCATATGGATAAGTAATTTTGATTAGCATTCTCACCAGAAAGTCACAGATTATTCTTAAACAAAACTAGACATAGCTAGTAATAAAGAGGAAAACTGGGCCCTTCAGAAAGAATATTATTCTGTGAAAAAGCTGGCACAAAGCATCATGAGGCCTGAATTAAAGCACAGAATTTAGAAGTAACTTCGGTTAACAAGAAAGTGAAACTTTTCTCTTATTAATTTAATGTTCTTGAATGCATGAGATAGAATAGGGAGTTAAACTAGACCCAGACAAAGACACTGAAGTCTTTAATCTTAACTGTTTGTGTTTGCTATTTTGTTTTCTTTTTTAATGATCATTCACCCCACTTCACAAAACCACCTCTCTCTTTCCCCCTGTACCAGTTGGCCGCTCCCATCAAACAATTGCC